CACACACACACACACACACACACACACACACACACACACACACACACACACACACACACACAGCAGGACCTCCTGAGCCCACTGATGTAAAATCCTGTTTCTGTCCGCCTGCTAAGCTAATCAAAAGCTCGGTTTTCATCGCGGATACCAGGAGTTGTGTGTCTGTGTGACGTGGCTCTGAGACTAGCAGCTAGCTATGATTAGCTGAATGCCACAGGAAGAGGCTAACCCGGGAGCTAACATGCTAACACGTACCTTCGCCGTGACTTTAGGGCCTTTCTTCTTCTCGTCAGCAGACCCCGGGAAAGCGAGGAAAAGGAGGGACCCCACGACGAGCGTGACCGCTGCGAGCAACTTCATCCTTCTTTCACACAGTCTGACCATCAACCAGGAGGAGCAGGACTGCTGGGGTCAGCGCTATAAGAGCTCCGCTGGGGGAGGAGACAAGCCTCCAGATTTAAAACGATGGAAGCGCTGCCAACTCGACGCAAAGGGGCGGGACCTCGGAGACGCACGGGGCTCTGATTGGTTCACGTGGCAGCCCGTTTAACCAATCAGATGCAGACGCGTACCCACGGGTTTTCTGAGATGCATCGTGGCAGATTCATTTTTTAAATCATGTTTTCTCTCTATCACACACAATAAATGAATGAATGAATAAATAAATGAATGAATAAATAAATGAATGGATAAATGAATGAATAAATAAATGAATGAATAAATAAATGAATAAATAAAATGCTCAAACGTGAACCAGAGAACCTAAATAAAATAAAAAAACTAACACTTGCTGTTTAATTACTGCACATTATAAAAACCTCTTTAATCCACTAAAGCTTTAGTGAATTTAAAGCTCCTTCATTTACTCATGTTTTTGCTTTTCTACATTTCCTGTAATACAGTATATTTGAGGTAACTTGTGACTGTAAGAAAGAGAAGAGGCAGGTTAAACTCACAAACTTTATTCAGTGAAACAATGACACCAGACCTCTGTGGTCCTCTCAGTCCCAACAGAACACTAAACTTTTTATGTTTTAAGACAAGGGTTTTAACAAATACTCCCAAATACTTACACGTTTCTCTTTTGGATTTAAAGAAAAGGTTTCTAAGGTGAAGCTGAACCTTATCAAATATTTTAAATGTAACAAAATAAAGTTAATAGTTTGAACTGATAAACCAATGCATATTCTTAGTCAAATTATAAACATTTTATTTTCAGTGAGCTGTGTAAGTTATTCTAAATTATGACTAATCTACATTTAATTTGGTCCAATTCATTTCAGCCTACACTCAGGTTTCACTGCCACTGATTATGCATATTATTTTATTAGGTTTTTACTGAGTAATAGTAGATAAATGTATGATAAATGTATGATAAATATATGCTGATTGCTGAAGAAGCTCGAACTGAGGTCAAAAATTTTAAAAGCTAAATAAGTAAAATAGGAGCGAAAAGTGAAAATGAGCAAAAATTTAATGAAAAGCTAAAAAGTACCAAAATAAAATCGATCTTGGAAGGATTCAAATATGTCCTAGTTCTTCTATGTTCTTTGTAAATCAAGTTAAATAGTTTTAAAAAGTATAAAAGTTACAAAAAAAGAAGTCCTAGCACCCATGTCCTGAACCTGCAGAAGCACAAAGTCCAGAGAAGCAGATTGTAAGAAAGGAAAGAGGAAACCAGGTGAATGTGGAGTCACCTGCAGGCCCCTCCCCCAATCTGACACATGAACACACTCAAACATGTGACATCACCATGACGTAACGATGAACACACAACAGAAGCAGAGTGTGCAGTCTGAGGTGTGTCTGCGTCTCTGCTGAACACAACCACACCAACACACCACTGTTAGCTGTGCGCTTCAGGTAAGACCATTATTATTTCATGCTGAGGTGTAAACAAACCATTCTTCTGTACTTTGTGTGACGATGTTCATGACTCATCAGCAGATTTTTATACACAGATTATAATTCAGGATTACAGGAACACATTTTGATCAGAAACCATGTGAACCTAACAAACAAGAAGAAGTCAGATTACCACCAACAGGAGAACAAACTGCACAGGAACCTCCTTCTAAACATTTATAACGTTTATAACTCTAAATATGAAGCTGCTGTGGAGTAAATAAGGTCATAAACTTTATTTATGTCAGGAGTGTTTTGGTCAAACATTGAGAAAACAAAAGTTGTCAAACATCTCATGATAAAAAATATATATCAAGTCTTCTTAAATCAAACATTGAACATGTTTGATGATCAGATTTCAAGTGTAAAGATTTAACAACAACATGGTGCTGACTGAAGAACTAACTGGCTGGGCCAGGAACCCTCAGAGTCTGTAAACATGGTCCTGGACCAGTCCACGGTCCAGCTGGGCCTCAGCTGGGCCTCCATCTGCTGGACCAATAAAACCTGCTGAAGACCTGACACAGCAGAGCAGGCTGGGGGGTCATCAGTCTGGGGA